TGCTGTTGAAAAATCTAAACATTTAAGTAATGATAATTTGGATATTGAAAATTCTCTAATTGAATTAGCTTATCAACGTTTGCCACTTTTACATGCTGAAAATAAGTAATTTATATAGCTTTTTGTTTTTTTCTCATTTATCAAAGATAAAACTAAAATAATATGTTTGATAAAAATATGTTTAAATAATTGTTTATTGAAGATAAATAATTAAAATAATAAATAAATTTTAAATAATTTAGTAATATAACAACAGCTATTGAAATATATCGTTCATATATTCAAAATGTTCATATTAAATCATTAGAAACAATGAGACAAGTTTGTTTTAATAAAATAAAATAAAATAAAATAAATGTAAATATTTTGATTATTTTTTCTAGACATTAATTAAACAATACGCCGAATTATTATTAAAATGTGTTTGTAAAGGAAATTATATTCTAATAACAAATTCTGATGATGATAATAATAATAATAATAATAATCGTCGAACATCTCAGTAAGAATAAATTTAATAAAAAAGAAAAATGTTTTATAAATAAAATAGATCATTATTTATTCCTCGAGATGTTGATGAAGAAATTTTGTTATTATTATTATTGGGTCAAACATCAACATTAAATGAAGCTGTACTTGATTGGCAACCTGAACATGAAGGTCAAAGAGAACGTAGTCATCAAGCTGCTTATAATATTCTTGCTCTTTTATCGATATTTCTTTCTCGTAAACAAGCATTTCATATTATTGCTGATGTAAGTTTTTATTTTATTTTATTTTATTTTTAAAAATAAAATAGAAAAATTTTTGTTTAAAAAAAAAAAGTCTTATGAACAAGCTCTTCGTTTTTCATTTGAACATTTTCAAACATGGTTTAATTATGGATTATCATTAATATCATCAGGTCAATCATTTCGTGCTTATCTTATATTAAAAGAATGTCTTCGAATGCAACAAAAAAATATTCAAGTTTATTTACAACTTGCTAAAATAATACTTGAATATATTTATGATGTAAATTTAATTGAATATATTTTTTTGTTTTTATTTTATAATTAATTATTTAAAATAGTTTCCATCATTATTTGAAACATTTCCATCAAGTGGCGAAGATGGACAACCACTATCAAAACAAACATTAAATCAACATGTTTATTATTTAAATCAACATGAACAACGACCTAGATTTATTGATCTTGTAATTTTAATTTATTTTTTTTTTTATTTATAAAGAAAAAAAAAAATTTTTTTTTTTTTAAATTAAGATTGATGAAGCAATTGATTATTGTCAACAAGCAAAAAACCTTGAAAATCCTTCATTTCCACGTTCACTTGTTCTTCTTGCTATAGCAAAATCATTTAAAGCTCGACAAACATCAATTCATAATGATCGTCAAGCACTTTTTCAATCAGCTATTATTGATCTTCGAGAGTATTTTATCGTATTCTTTTTATTTTTATTTTTATTTAAATATTATTTTAACTGTTTTTATTTTTATAAAAACAAAAAGATCAATTGAACTTGATCCATATGATTCCATAGCACATTTTCATCTCGCTCATAATTTATCTTTTCTCAATCAAGTTTGATTTTTACTTAAATAATATATTTATTTATTTATTTATTTATTTAAT